AACTAATCCCAGATTTAAACAAAACAAACAGACAAACAAAAACAAACCAAAAATCAACCCCAAAGCAGAAACAAAACCAAAAACTGAACCCAAAACAATACCAACAAAAAGCCCAAACCAAACTCTGCAAATGAAGGAAATTAGAAGTTACAGGCTTTGTTGATTCTCCATTTATTTTGAGAAATATAAAATATGAAAACTAGTTTACAGTTCTGGCACAAAAATGATGAAGCAATAAGCACAGAGTTTCTTTTTACAAATAACGCTATAGATTTTTACCATTTAAAAGTGCCTAAAGTTCTTCACAGCAAATAAAGTTTATATCTTTTTTTCTTAGTAAAATATTAAATCTATTTAGATTGCACATGAACATCTTGGTGAAGTAAACTATATGTAAAGTTACAATAAATCTGTATTTTAAAGCAGATAGTCATTAGAAACTACATGGAACGGAAAAGACTATCAAAGCCTAAACTAAATCTAAGAGATTGATCAAGAAGAGACAAGACACTGACTGATATGGCACAAGTGATTGAATTACTGACAATTTAACAAAAAGTAATAAAGGCTATTTGAAGTTCTTCATGGATCTAATACATTGCCGAGACATTTCAATGCAGAGGTTTCATAACATTTAAACTGGCAAAATAGTTTTTCAGCTGCTAAACATTTTTCCACAAGGTTACAAGGCATCTCCTTCACTTAATACTGGACCTTAAAATGAGTATATTGGTAAAGAATGTGCATAAAAAACCAAAATTTACACCGAAGGTTGTTGTTGACAATATACTATGTTTTGACAATAAAACAGTTGAAAGGTTTATCAGTTAAAATTAACTGCATTAACTTGCAGCAGCAGAAACTAGAACATTTTGAAAAATCATTCTTCACGTGTTCCTTCAAAAACTTGCCTTGTTCCAATTTCCACAGTCGCTGAGGGGTTCAACCTACAGTTTTACTGTCAATACAGTCACTTACAGTATGCAAAATCAGACGTGAGCTGAAGTCTCTATAGATCAGGGCCGTCACTTTCACACAGTTATTCCTCCTTCACAGACACTTGAGCTGAAGTTATATCAGTCATGACTTGGAAGACTCTCCAGTCAAGAAAGAGTGACTAGTGATGTCCCACCTGAAATACTTTAAAGAGGCCTAGCTGCCACAGTGTTTTGTGTGCGCTCTGACCTTCTGGATTATGTTTCTTAAATGCAAACTCTTTAACACTCCAAACTGAAGATCCAAAAATTCAAGTATCCAAAGTCTTACTGGTTATAAGTCATGACCTTCAAGCTTGTGTTGATGTCAAGTAATTTACATAACCATTTCTTTCAAACTACAGCACAACTGATTTACCCATCTTCGTATCTCTTGCAGATGGTCAAAGAGTATTTGATTTTCATCAAAATAAGAATTAACACAGTTAATAGGGTCCAGATAGCATTGGTCTGTTGCTTTAAGACACACAGCAATGTTGACAATGGATGTGTGATAAATGCTCCATTATGTCATTCACATTACACAGCACAGGAAACATATGCACACTAGATTTCTTTGCACTGAAGCCCAGCTGTTTAAAAATGCAGGAATATGCCCTATTCTCAGAATTAGTCTAACATTATAGGCATGCACAGCTTCACATATCTGAACGAAATCAAGAGGCAGGACCTAAAACATCGTCTTTGTGATAAATTCAACAATGCCTGAACTAAAGTCTAACCACTTAAAATGAGAGTGCCAATGTGACCCTCCCCCAAAAATATGTTTGTAAACCAGGCATTAAAGCAAGTCTGGTCTATGTGAAGAAAAATTGAAAAGTGATCAACCAAATTCAAAGAGGGAAAATAAACAGCCTCAAATTATGTATTAAAGGTTTTCCAGTTAACCACCTATTATTTTTCATTTCAGCTTAAGTACCTCTTCTGAAAAAGATGTAGAGAATATCTTAACAAAAGCAAACAATTTTGCTCATTTTATTGTTAAATACTACTTTCAAGTAGCTGAAAGTGCCCAGTTTTATGAGTAATTTTAGATTCAGAGTACTGACTGAAAATGAAAAATATGACATTGAAAGCACAGTGGTGCTAACAAATACAAAATATGCAGCTTTTGAAAGAAAAACAGCTCACAAGGCACTTGCTATAGTGGTCCATTAAATAAACAGTATATTTAGTGCACCCTTAAAACATCATTGTTATGCATCAAGTTTTTTCAGTGTTAAGATTTATTAGAAACAACCATGGGGTTCTGTGTATTCTGAAGCAGTTACTGAGCAGCCTTGATTCATATTCTGTAAATGAAACAAACTAGAACTGGGGCATAGAAGGAGAGTTATTTTAAATGATTTCTTGCCATGTGAAACTTCTTCCATGCAATGACAAAATTAATGTGGAATGCCGTTCTGATACACAGCCCTCCCACTCTGCCCCAAATTACTGGAAGAGCCTGGCTTTTTAATTACAACTGAATCTATCATCAACTACTAGTTTGGCTCATCATTTGCAGCTTTGAAAAATAACGTGCATAACAGTAGCACTAAGCTACTTTCCTTTCCAGAGCAAAAACTGGCAGATAAGGAAAGTACAGATAAATATCTGTAAAAATTGTACATTATGTCAATGGCTTAAAATGCTGAAAGTCATAATCAACACACTTGATACTGGTTTGATTTTTTTTTTTGTTCTCAACATACTTCAGAGGCCAGAAAAGTTACAGACCCGACCACATCTCCTAGCATTTCTCTGTGGGAACGGGTTCTTCATCTCCCTTTAGAAAGTATGCATATATTAAACCATACTTTTTAATTACTCCCAGACTGAGAAAGCTTGGATCATACAAATGCTCCTGCCATCTTAAGGTTTCCACAGTCACATGTTGAACAGAATAAGGAAAGTTGTCACTGACAGAAGGATCTGTAGACTGGCCAAAGGAAAAGTTAACATTCTAATTAAAACCAGTTCCAGAACGTTAGCAAAAGGTACCAACTTGCTCAGGAGACTTCAATCTACTTCAGCCCAGTCTGTCATGGTACTTACTTTTGTCCATAAGCACCAAAGTGAGAAAACTTAAGCATCTGTCCAGAATCACCACACATAGTCCATTCTCAAATTCTACTCTGCAGAATCACTTACAAGTTTCCCAGATTCTCTCCAACTCAGATCACCCAAAAAAATAATCTAATCCTCATTCACACTTTTGCATAGTTTGGCATTTTCTGGAGTTGCACTTCTGTTTTCTTTCATAGCTTTTGAGGGGACTCATCTGTCACATATGCAATTACTTCCAGTCTAAATCCTTCAGGAAAAAAATCTGAGTCCCACTTAAGCAGCAAGCTGTCCACCACTGTTTGACATTCTTCTTTCAATTCAAAGTAAAGATTACTCAGTTTTAGCTGCACTTTCGGATTTCTCCCTTTGCATCATGCAGCGACGCACTATGCTGTCAAAACTTCCTAGGTAAAATAAGCCAATGATGCGAAAAATGCCCATGCAAACAACCTGGAAACAGAGAGAAACATCTTTCAATTCATTTAAGATCCCGGATTGCAGCATATTATTTACTCATGGAATATATAGTTCCAGGCAGGTACGTTATATAATCTCAAGAAAACAAACTCATGAAAACTATCATAACTATGTAACACTTCAGGACTGAGTAGCAGGTATCAATCTTAGCTTTCCCACCAACTTGCTGCTTCCACTTGAAAATACTACTTCAGTTTCCTAAATCCAAGTCTCCACAGCATTAGCAGCCATTTGATGAAAAAAAAGTAATCAATGTTAACATAATGTTCTACAAATTAAAGTATTTTAAACTGTAAGAAATTACGTCTACAGGGCCTTCCCAAATCTTACCTGCTGAAGACCTTCAGTAATAGAAGTGACTGGTGACATTCCACTTGTCAATATAGATAGCATATAACCATCTGATCCAACCGAGCTGTTAAAGTTCCCTTGCTGGATGGAAGGAAAAGAGCAATTAGGAAAAAAGTAATTTACCCAGTTGTAGCAAATCATGATCTGCTGTATTTCAACAGCTATTCTTGATGGACACAGATGACTGATGCCACTAACATTTTTATGTAAAAAGCTATTAACGCAATTAAACACCAAAATATTCAAAATATTTTGTACTATACAGCAACATTCCAAAAGGCATTCACTTGAAAATGGACAAGGAAGCTAATCTCTCTTTAGAGACAGGTGTGCTACATTACTGCAGATTTCTTTACAAGATAGAAAGGCACTAAATTTCTTCTTGAAGTGTGCTTACTGATTGAGAAAATGCATGACGGTCTTCCTGGATGTAAACATATTTCAGAGACAGAATTACACCCTAACTCTGCCAGGTCACCAGATCACCAATCACTACAGTAACTGCAGAATAAATCACCGCTTGCCTTTAGTTAAAATTAGTTCACTATCGCATGAGATTTGACAGGGGGGTGTATTTCAGGTGCTAGGTAATAGGTCCTCCTCCGTCTATGTCAAGGATTTTTAACTTGCCCTCCTCAAAACCATGACAGACACAGCCTGCTAAGAAATTCAGCTGGCAGAATACAGGAGACAGACACCAGGAAAAAGTAATTTGTTTGTTTGGAAATAATGAAAATTGCAGCTCTATAGCTCTGACTGCTGGGCTTCTCCCAATTTTTTTCCACACAGACTTTTCGCTGGACTTTCTGAAGTCTTTCAGAAAGAAACAGACTTTCTGAAACACTGCAGGACTAAATCTATGGAATGCAGAAGTGAAAGGAAGTGGTAGTGCTCCTGAATCAGGTTTAGGAGTGAATCTATGCTTAAGAGATTTGGTTATTTCCCAGCACATAACTGAGAGGACTACCAGCTTCTACAGTACAGACTTCTTTGCTGATAGCTTGAGTGCATAAAGACCATGCCTGAACTAATATTTCATCCAAAGTGCTGGAAAGCATGGTGTAGAAATACCAGATGCTTAAGATTAGAGACGAGATTAGTTTTCCTTAAGCACCAAAGCAGAATACTATAAGAGGTAGTGCTTGCTTTTAAAACTCATCCCCCCAAACCAGACATAATTTTGTTCTGTATTTGTGAAAATACTGTAAAAACATCACAACTGAGCACCTGCTGTAGATGTTAAATCATGTTGAGGATCAAAAATATTTTGAACTACAAAGTAATTACAGATTTTAGGCTTAAATCTTGGTGCTTTATGAACATGAAATTTCATGTTAGTTTCTTTTCTGAGGTGTTTTATTAAGCATACAAGCATCCCATAGCACAAAACATTAAAAAAAAAATCCTCAGAAAGACAATACACTTTTAACCACTAAGAGCAGCATTTTATGTATTTTAATCACCCATAAATCACACACTTAAGACATTAAAGGCCAAAAAGGCTAGACTGCCTTCATTTATTGTAAAATTATTTTTATATGAACTCATCTTCAAGAAAAGAAAGATAGTCCAACAAGCGTTTGAGGTTAGACAAATGGTATTTCATACATAAAAACTCAATAGAGTTTAGTGCTTTAAAGTCAGTCATAATCTGCTTTTGAGACATTGCATCATACTGATGCATCATTTTGTTCTGTCTAATGTACAACTTCAGATACTTTTTAGTTGCAAAAGGTTGTATAAAGTCATTTGTGGGCACAAAAGCAAAAGAGGAATAAAAAAAAAAAAAACACCTTCCTCTTCAAACTAACTGAAGAATACTGTTTCATGTAAATTGATTTTGCATTCAGCTTAGCTATTGTCTTACAGCCTTGAACAAGTATTACATGCAATCCTTGTCTCTCCAACAAGAGACTTTAAAAAGATAATTTTACTTTAAAAAGATAATCTACTTACTATGGCATCTTTGACTATAACTCTGGCGACTTGTTCTGCTTGACAAACAGATGAGGTTTCAGAAATTAGCTTCGTCTCTAAGGGCTTTAGTAGAAAAACACCAGTATCAGTTTGACTAACAACATACAGGATAGAAAAATATGAAGGTCAGATTTTGGATTTGGGTCTTTTGTCATGGATGACATCACAAGTGGTATTATACTGTCACCTAAAATATCCACTTAAAGGTAAAAACACCTTCACAAATAATAGTCTATTTTTAGAGGGAAAAGCCAACTTTTTCTTGAGTAGTTGTACTTTTTTTAATAGTTTATTAGTAATAAGATATGAAAAATTGTTCTCCCCCTCCTCCCCCAAATAATTTACATTCAGTAGAAGCAATCAAAATGCTTTAACTATGTCTCCTCAACACCTGGTATTATAGTTCATTTATGGCTCTTGCCAGAAATGAAGACAGGCCTCAAATATTTTGAGATCCTAGAAGACTTCTTTTTTTAAATTAATTTATTTATATTTTTAGTTTCTCAAATTCCACACACTGGTATCCACCAAAATCCATCACATTTTATTTCTTCATGGTTTAGAGCATTTATGCTACTTTACCTCACTAGAAAAAAAAAACAAAAAAAACCACAATTAGGGCAACTATTTTAGCAAGCACAGGTTTTTTTACCCCCCCCCCCCCACAAAATCCACCCCCCCCCCCCCCCAAAAAAAATCCCCAAACAAAAAAAACCCAACATACCCAAAAAACAAAACCAAAACCCCATGCACAAAAAACCAACTAACCCAGAACAAACAAACAAAAAAAAAAATCCCCAAACAAGAAAGTCTGGTCTGTTACAAAAACAAACAGCAAAAAAAATGCATTCAAGTATTTAGAAGCATGTTTGTCATTCATGTCCTTTTAACAAATCAAACAATGGTGGAGCTAACTGCACAGCAGTTATGCTCAGTATGTTAAGATAGATGGTTCTGTTGATGAATTAAAAAAAGCACTAAATTAGGGAGAAAGAAGTATTTGGTCACAAGATGACTTGTAATGGCTAATTCTGCTACATCTAGTAACAAAATTTAATTGAAGCATTCAAACCTAGTCAAATGCTGGGACTTGTTTAATTGCAAGGTTAATGCTTTTATAAAGCACTTCTAGGAAAGAGCTGAGCAACTACTGGTTTCTCTCTCATTATCAATCCAAAGTACTACAGAAATTAAATTTCACAGAAACAGGCCTATTTCCAAATACCTGTACAATTATAAATCCTGATTTCACACATCAGGCCCACTGAGAATTTTTTTTTTTTTTAGGATGTATATTTTAAGAGGTGGCAGAGAGGGGCATCAGCATTTTTGCCAGCAGAAATCACACACACTTCTTACACACTTTCCTAGAGTGATAATGGCTTACACCATCAGATCTCCATTTTATAACCCCTATGTAGCTTTGAGCTTACTGGCCAGTAACAAACATAGGAAAACTGTATCCTAGTTCATGACATTTTCTTTTACTATATTCAGTGATTACAGAGAAAAATAGCCTAGTCCTAAAGACATGATAACTATAGAGATGTTGCAAACTCAGTAGTATTAACTAAATGCAACAATAATAAACAAGTATCTGAACTACCAGAGCAGTGCAATACTGCAGATATTTCAGGTGTGCTGTCACAACAGCAGCAGGTCACCTGAAGACTTCATGTATGCTGGAACATAGGAGAGTCTTCGATTAAAAGACAACACCTTTTTGACTAAGATAAATCTCACTGACTCTCTTGTAAAGAAAAATCTTGGATGAACAGTACACTTTGCTGGTGATTTTATTTCCCTGAAATAGGATATTATGAAGAAAAACAAACCCCCAGAGAATATGCAAGCTATACAAGTATCTGCAGATGTCTAATTCTGGCACTTTTTGTTCTGTAATACAGAATATCTGTATCAAGAATGATGAAGTAAGAATAGTATTATACAATCCTACTGACTCCATACAAAGGGTGAAAGACAAAATGGACTTCAACTCCAATTTCCTATTATACATGAAGGGGCATCTTGAAAAGGCTGATCTCCTTAAATACCAGGTTTCTGGTTCACAGTATGCAAATAAAAAATAAGACACATTTTGCTCTGGTTACCTGAAACTTCAGTCTGAACAGGAGGCCTGAATGTAGTTTTTGGAATTGTGGGTCATGTGTAGGGACATGTCAAATGACGAGAAGCAACTAAATTTGTGAAAGTCAAAACTTTCACTTTCAAGGTAAGCCAAATGAAAAAGGCCATACTGCTGACACACTCTTCCGGAAAGTGATACTGCCATTTGCACTACAAATACAAAAAGTTTACTTCCTACTTTAATGCTAGTCAACAGTCACTATTGAATTGTGTCTTTACATATATTCATAAAGCACAGACAGTTTGCAGACTTTACTGAAGGAACTGAGGTTTATTTTGATCCGTCACATCTACCAGAACAACTGCATATTATCAAAGACACAACATGGGAATATTATTTTTGGCTTGTTAGCTTTGATATCAAAACAAATAGTGGTTTCACAGTTTACCATTCCATAACAATATTTACATTATGTACAGAAAGATTTTGCAGTGTTTCAGCTATTAAAAGTAGTTCTTCCCTTTAAAGCCAGAACAATACACAAAATTATCCTACAAGCTATTTAACTTCGAGTAGTTAAGTTGATAAAATTTAAGTATTTAAAAGTACTTCTTAAAATCTTAATATGCACTGATTTCAAAAGTACTATGGAAGTAAGTGAAATCTGAAATGCATTACTTACTACAAAGCGAAGCTTTAAAAACATTATAGTATTACTGAAGGACAATTTACCTTTGTTTTACTTTCTTCTGCAAAGCCAGGTGTGTCAGTATCTGGAGGATAGGCCACTGTCACATAGATATTATAAGGTTTTACCTGTATATTACAAAAGTAAATGTTATCTTAGTACTTACAGCCTTTACATGTCCCTCAACTTCATTAATTTCTTTTGTACAGAAATACAGCAAGCATGAATTTAAATTGCTTCTAGTGGTATGTATTCAGCACTTGCAAGACTCACAGCTTTGACAAATGGAAAAGCAAAACAGCAAAGACTTTTAAAAGATGGTTGTTTTTAATAAAAATACTTAAGTACTTCACAGTTGATGTAAATCATTTGGTGAATCTGAGTGTTTTTTAAGACATTCAGGAGGAATATGAAAGTAGCTTAGTTCTACAATATTACCAATTTCAAATTTAAAATAAGACTAAACCTTTGCCAAAACCAATACCCAATATTCACAACCACAAGGCCAAAAAGGCTTTCACTGAAGCTTATTAGCATGCTTTTTTGCTGTTGTTGATGTCAACATATTTTCAATGCTTGCTGGACAAGGGCAAAACCAACAAAAATGTAAAAGGAGAATTTGATATCTTTAAGATGTGTACTCAAGTCACAAGGCTTTTCAACCCATGGTATAAACTTGCAATAAAACAAAGTCTAAGCAGACAAAATTAAAAGAAAAAGGCAGAAAATATGAGGAAAAATGTAAGGTCTCATGTCAAGGATTGCATTTAGTTATGTATTTGTATGTATGTGCCACAGAATTACATCACTTACTGTGCTACTATTCAGAAACTGCAACAATGCAAATCTGTATTCCGATACAAATAAAGAAGCTTTTATATTCAGAGGGCTAAGATAAAGCAAAGTGTTGTACAGTGCTAAGCATTTTTACTTGTATTATGAAACATTCTATATCGAAAACACTTACTGAAATACCACATCACAGGTCCATAAACACCCTATTTTTAGTTTTCTGTAAGTCAGTATTCACAAAAATATCTGTCACCAGGCTGAAGGACCCTGCAGTCACGTTGTTCTATTTGTCAGGCCAGCAGTGATTAGAGGCAGTTTTACCCCACATTCAGGATCAAAGAATACAGCTACATTGAACAGAACACGGTAACAACAGGGACTATGCAAGGGTCTAGAACCAAACACCAGCACTTAATATCTGAACAATTAACAACTAAAATATATCTTCATAACAGAAGAATTGGGGAAGTAATTTTCAAATCAATTTTACCTGTCTTACTACAATGTACTTACCAACCTCGTTCCACTGAATAATGAAAACAGTGTTTGGTTGGTTTTTAGTCTTGACTTAAGCATAATCTTAGATTACTGCACTATAAAAAGCTCACATACCTCAAAATTAAGAAGGGTGAACCACTGTCAAGCATTTTTTATTCTTTTTTTGGTGGATAACCCTCAAATTCTAGCTTGCAAGTTCTACTGCTTCATATGGTTCACATACCATTTACCATGGCCTCATAAGCAAGTCAGGAATCACTGGCCTGCCCATCATGCATCCATGGGATATTCAGTATCATTCTGCACTTAGAGCCTTGAAGAAGACTTTTACTCAAAAGACCTAAAACCCAAGTCCTTTCAGTTAAACTAAAAGATTTTAAAAAAATGCCTGCACACGTGGTCACCTTCAGTTCTAGGAATGGCTTCAATCTATTTCCTCTTATGCAACTGAAATCAACTTAGTTTCTGCAGTCCCATGCAGAGAAATAGGACTGTACTGCTGGCAAAAAAAGAGGCCAACACAGCAGACAGACAGAGCTGCACAAGACAAAGGAGACCTATTTAAATGAAAACGTGCTGTGCTGCTAGTTAAAAGAAAAATATATTGTTTACAATCTAAAATACTGAACTTATTTCACACATACCTCCATTTGCAGGGCTTCAGCCAACCCTCGAAGAGCAAACTTCGTTGGAGAATAAGCTGTATAACCAAATAGGCCTAACTGCCCAGCCTGAGATGATACAAACACAATCCTCCCCATTCTTCGTTCCTTCATGGTAGCGATTACTGCTCGACTCGGGTAAACGCTACCCAGATAATTGACTGCCATTAATCTCTGTACAAACGATATTAATATGGTATTTGAGTCACAGATTCAGAATCCTTCAGCTGTTTGGTATTATTTATCAAAACTCCCTATTTCAGTTGGCTTTAATAATGAGGTTCACTAGATTTGTTGTTCTATCAGCTGGCAAAAGAAACTGTTTCACAGAGAAAAAACTCACTTCAAGCCAAAAGAAACCCAGTCTATCAACAACTCTTAATAGTATCCAGGATACTGATAATCCTGTGAACCATATGGCCTTCAAGGCAAAAAGAATATTTGAGGGAAAATCTAACCTAAACAATGTGCAGGAAACAATCCATTTACACATGATTTATGAAAACATACTGAAATAAAAGTTTAATGAGCTTTCTAGAATAAGAAAAATTCTATGTATTTATACATTTCAGAGATTTTAATTTTTGCAGGATAAGTGGAAATATTTAATTTTCACTCTTAGAAGACCTAAACCATATATATACACAAGCAACAGAATGGGGATGATTTGAATTTATTATAAACTTATGTCTATTTAGTATTTTCAGATTATTCAATGTTATTTGTAGAAGACCCAGGGCCTGAGGCCTGTAAAGTAACCAACATGCAGGGATTTGAGGTGGGTTTTTTTTTTGGTCTTTTAATCAGAGCAACAGCTTTTCAAGCTGCAAGCAAATTGTGCACCTCAGCATTGAACACTGATTACAGCTGAATTTTTCTTAAACGGCTTAAAAAATATGTAAAAAAAAAAAAAAAATCTTCACCAGAAAAAAAAGTTAGACCATACGAAATTCAGTGACTCAGAGCCCTTCACAGTGCATTGAACTATAACAATACATGCCAGGCCTTGTGCCATCTTGAGGACTGACTCTGTTCACTGTTCTGCCCCACCAGTGGGCCAATTGTCAGGTAGGAAATTAGAGGCAATCCTTGCAGATCTAATTCTGACAGCTACCACAAATCAAGTCTATCGCTGTTCTTAAAAAGCCTACAAAGACACAGGAATGCAAGCTAATTGTTAGTGGACTAAAAAGAAATCATATGATAAAATAAAAAAGAGCATGCTCACTCACTTCAAAACAATTCACTTCAATATCCTCAAATTTTCCTGTAATTGATGTTCCTGCACAGTTTACAAGCATGTCAACTGGTCCAAGCTTCTCCTGAGCCTGAAAAAGGCAATAGAAGTTAAGACCTTCAGCAGG